ATATATTATATATATATAATATATATATATATATATTATATAATATATATATATATATATTGCAATAGGAACAACGAAGGGAAGGGCAAGAAAACACACGAATATGCCGAAGGCCTTTTCAATATTGCTTCGTCAGGGCATATGCTACATGAGGTACATAGAGTATATATACAACTACTGGGTGATCAGGTCACGTCGGTAATAAGGTGAGCGACGACCTTGGCTTGTTCATGGCTCCCCGTAGCGGTGTTGATGTGGTTAGTTGTATGAATGAACGCCGCTTCTGCCATCTTCCTTTGTCGTGGGACCAGGCTTTGCTTTATGATGGAGGCCTGGGACCACTTCGGGAGGTGACCATCGGTGTCTGCGTGAACAACGAAGGCGCTTCTCGTGTCATGGCGTCGGAGAGCGCTGCGGTGTTGACTGATTCGTTGTTCGTGCAGTCCTCGTGATGTCAATGGAGGAGATCAGGCAGGTTCGTCCTTGTTGGTACTACAGCGAGGATGTCGTCCACGTAGCGGAGCCAGACCACGTTCCTTCACCGCCTGGCTAAGAAACTCGCAGCTCCTCTATCAGCCGCCCTAAACTCCATCAGCGGTTGCCATCTATCGAACACCTCGGATATGATGGCTAAACTGCAAGGTGTCGGCATAAAGTGCCGACACTTCATGCATTATATATATATATATATATATATATATATATATATATATATATTATATTATATATATATATTATATATATATATATCATATATATATATATATATATATATATTATTACTATATATTATATACTATTCATATTATATGCCCACTATATCTATTACACTCTCTCTATTATATATATATCTACTATTCTTCATATATCTATCGTCTATCAGATACTCTATTCTACCATACTATTATGCATTCTCTCTATACTATCTCCTTCATTACTCACTTCTATATACTTACCTATCATTACTCTATACCCTCTCCTTCTCATACATCATCTCCTCTAACTCTCTTATATATATCATTCTTCCTAATCTATTATCCCTCTATACTTATTATTTCCATATACCTACTTACTCTTCCTTTACCTATTACCCTATTACATATACTCCCTACGTTCTCCCTCCCCTGTTGCCCTGTCGTAAAGTCCTTCCTTACCTTATTCTGTTTGTCTTAAATCTTTACGTGCAAGTAGATGTTCCTCACGCCAAACTTACCTATTCATGTCCCGGTAGCAGGAGTGTTCCCGTCTCGCGCATACTCATTCGCTACCTTTTGTTCTTGGTGTATCTTCAATTGCTTGTTATCTTGGCTATGATCAGCTTTCTTGCTGGCTATGAGAGTCTGTCCGGCCCCCATCGGTTTCTGGAGCTTGACTGCCCCTCTGGTTTCTAGCTAGTTCAATAGCTCTCTTTCCCGTGACTTTCCCTAGGAGCCTTTCGTTGCTCCGGTTCCCACGAAATTGAGGATTTCTGCCCTCCTGGTACCCCGCGCCCAGACCCCACTATCACCTCCGGACCTCCTTCCGTCTTACAGCGATTGCGGGTAATCCAGCCAAGCGCAGATCGACTCCTATCATCATCTTTTTCTTTAGCCACTCGTCTCCGGATGGATCCGTGTCGATCGAATTGCAGGTGGTGTACATCCGAATTTGCCTGAGTGTGCGTTCTGTCTGTGCTCTCTCCCTCCTCTCTCCTCCGGTATCACCATATGAACCTCTCGTTCTCCCTTGTTCCTGCTACCTCCGTGGGCGTCTCTCCATCTTCATAAACTCCCCTCCCTGCTCCGTTCCTAAAATGACTCACCCTACCCGTGCCCTCCTGCCCGTGATTATTTGGCCACCCCATGTGCATGAGGGAGGGGACAGATTGCCTCCGTGCCTTGCGTCTGTCCTGATCGGCAATCTCTGTATCTCCTGTTCTTTCTCGCTACTATTCGCTCTGCACTACCTTCTGTCCGTACTAGACCTTGTGTTTTACAATCAATAAATGACGGACTTAAGAGTGAGCGTATCAAGAACGGTTTAACGCTTGGATAACGCAGCTCTGAGATACGATTGTGGTGGTACGCTCTGCAAGAGCTTCCGAGTACAGAATTCCCATCTCGGCAGAGACACGAAAGCCACAGATGCAGTCATGCAACTCGGTCTGAACGGATCGGGGCAAATTATGGCCACCAATACACTAATGATGCGCAAGGAAAACTCAATGATCCTCCATTTGCCGGGTCTGAGCGAGATAACGAAGGGATTAGAGAACAGTTTATTAGGTAGAGTGTTGCGCGAGAGGAGGTAGAAGGCCATTTCTTAGTAAATGACCTTCACCTCAGGCTATACGGCCACCTGGCTCACTTTCTTCAGGATGATTCTGCGCATCGTCTCTGTTCGAGACAACCTGTGGAGAAGGCCTGTGGGACGACCGAGGAAGTCGTGGCTTGGGCAGATCGACCAAACCTGCCGTGAAGAGCTCGAGATGGGCCAAGTCCCTGCCTGGCATCTAGCCATGAGGGATCCTAGTAGGTGGAAGCGAAGGGTGGATGCGGCTATGCGCCCCTGTCGGCGTCAGCCCCCTTGATGATGATGAAGATGACATATACAAATAATACAGAGGTACACGAAAAAACTAATGAACCACAAAATTTTGAACACTCCTATCTTACAACTTTCTAGCAGTGATCCGCCCTCATCTGAATATGTTCAAACACTAACTTATATTTGGATATGTCTCGGACAGTCTCTAATTTTGATCAATGGTGGCACTTTCTAACATATATTTTAGTGATTGGCATTATTTTAAGATAAGATTTTGGTGTAAATCACTTATGGCGCTCTTGATATCTTCTGTGGCAGAAGATATTTGCCAAGTACTGGGCCTGCTTCCAAACAAAGTTGATACCATTATCAAACCAGACTTCTTTTGGCTCTCCTCTTCTAGCTATACACCTCTCCAGTGCATTAATAAAACTATCTGTGGTAATTATCTATATTACGTCCGCATAACCGATGTCGACGATTTTGGTATCGTTGGAATCCTCTCACTCTATACAATGCAAATATGTAGGTTTTATTGCGCGGAAACCCCCCGTTAGCGACAAACTTGGACCTAATAGCGGGGGCGACGATGTCGGAGCGGCAGACGTAATATATAAAATTACCCTAATAATATAACCTCACAGTGAAAATAATCATGGTTATTCACATGACTTTCCATTGCAGGGGGTTGCGCCCCCTGCGACCCCCCCTATGGGGGCTGCAGCCCCCCAACCCCCTCCAAGGAAACAACACCTCCACCACATATTCACGGCAGGATAGAGCGCACACGAACTAGATGCATCGAAAAAGGCGCAAAACCCGCCGACCCGACGAGGGCGGGCCATCGCCGCTCTTCTGTTCATGGTATACCTTGTTCATCCTGTTTATACTACAATCGTCTCTGTATACAATGCTGACTATGTCAAGGTTAGTATGCTGATTCAGTGGGAATGTTACGAGGTAATTGTAATACGTCAGCTGCTCCGAGATCGCCGATAACTGTGTAACGCTCTAGCCTGCCAGGAATACGTTGTGGAGGCTTTGTTTCCTCGGCGGGGGTTGGGGGCGCCAGGGGGCACAGCCCCCTACAGTGGAAAGTTATGTGAATAACCATGGTTATTTTCACTGTGCGTTATATTATTAGTGCTACTTAACCCCGCATTTTCCCTGGAACCTTTCATGCACTCCCCTGCTATTGGGGCCAAGTTTGTCGCTAACGGGGGATTTCCGCGCAATAAAATCTATATATTTGCAATGTGGACAGTGAGAAGAATCCAACGATACCAAAATCGTCGATATCGGTTATGCGGACGTAATATAGAAAATTACCCTGTGTCTAGGCTATTTGCCACTTCACTTACTTCTTTACTTCTGAGTATACCCTCTTCACAATGAATGTAGTCCAGCCCTACTATGGTGAAAGGTGGCTCAAAAGGTGCAACTCTTGATTCTGGTAGGCTGGCCATTTGCTGAACTTCTGTCTTGCCTCTAAGCTTCCTACATGTGATGCATTGGTAAACAATCTTCTTTACAAGTTTTCTTCCTTTAAGGGTCCAATAGCCCCTCCTCAAGTCTGTCAGTACATGTTCTACTCCAGCATGACCCGTTTTATACAATTAGCTTAGAAACAGGGTGCTCATATAGTAATATAAGTTGATGCTTAGTACAGTTTTCATGCTTAGAATTAGTCAGCCTTCCTCCGACCAACAGTAAGCCTGAGGCTGACTTCTTGGGGTTCAGTTTACCAAGCTGGGTCTTGTCAAAAAGTCGAGATTATCTGACAATGGCTTCTGCGATTCTCAGTTCATCTTCTACAAGTGGTCCCATCCAACATGACTTATTACGAAGAAATTGGCGTAATCTCAGTAACTAGGCTACTGTTTTCTTCAAGCAATGCCAAAATGAGTAGTGACTTAGACGTTTGCTCATGTGATCATCCTCAGACTTTATGGCATGCACTACAGGGGGTGGCTTCATTTCAGCCATCTTTTGTAGTTATGTGCAATTAAATGCAGGCTGTCTAGGCCAGCTCGATTGGTCGCTATACAAGAAACTTGATCCCTTATATCAGCGCTCATCACTAATAAGTTCTGCTAACATTCCTTTAGAGGCATCATTTCCAGGGTTCTCTGAAGTGGGTACATATCTCCACTGTGTTGGTGCAGTATGCTCCAAAATCTTGGCTACTCTGTTAGTGACATGGGTTTGGAACATTTTTCCTGAGCTCTGCAGGTACCACAATACAATGGTACTGTCTATCCAATAAACAGATTCTTCTAAGTACATCTCCAACTCTTCTTGCAGAAACGTCCAGTCTTACTGATTCTAGTGCTCCAGCTAACTCCTTTAAAGGTGCAAGTCTAGACTGTCTGATTTTCGTAGATGGTCAGCAAATATGAAACTGCTCCATACCCATATTCAGAGGTATCACAGAGTTGAAATAGCCTTATGCATTTACCCATATGTATAATACATCAAGGAATGCTAAACTCCTTAATGATAGGCAGGTCTCGCAACCACCGGCTCCATTGTTCCTCCGAGTCCTTGGGTAAGGAGTCGTCCCAGCCGGTTTTCAATCGCCACAGCTGCTAAAACAATCATCTAGCCTTAAGAATGAATGGGCTTACATATCTTAAAAGGTCATGCACATTGCTAAGGGTACTAAGCACTCCTCTCTTGGTTCTGGGGTTGTCTTTTATATATATATCAAATCTGAAGTAGTCAGACCCAGTATCCCACAACATTTAAAATGGACGTTCTGTGGGTAGTTTAACTAAGTTGATATCAAGGGTGGTAAAGGATTTTACCCACTTGTCCTTGCTTATATTGTTCATTAAAGTGAATTAGAAACAAACTTTGTTAAATGGAAACCTCTTCTATGCAATAAGTGCATTACTTGATTTGTACTGCGGTCGCTAGGGTCTTGACAGATTTCAAACACTCATCCACACACACACACACAAAATGTAGGGCAGTGTTCAACACAGAGTGTGGATACTCTTCTTCAAATTCCCTCGTCACCTGCTGTAGTGCATAGTTTGTACAACTTGGGCTCCACACCTCACCAAATAGATATGTCATTCGGTATGTCAATGATGGTCTTCTTGTATCATCACCTTGGAACCAGAGGAAACGTAACACATCTCTGCTATCTGGCATCACCTTCACCTGGTGTAACATGGCCTCTATGTCTGTCATAAAGGCAATAGCTCCCTCCCGGAATCTTAGCAGGATTCCTACTAGCGTGTTAGCTAAGTCTGGTCCTTGGTTCACATAGTCATTCTGGCTTCTTGGGGTTCCTAATTGGATGATGTGGCAAGTACCATACCTTTCCATCAATTCTCTTCTTATCTTCAAAAGGCACTTCTACGGCATAACCTTTCTCAAGGAGTTTGTAAATCTCTTTGATTTATTTTTCCTTTGGGTCTTCATCTCTGTCCAACCGCTTCCCCAGCACCTTTTAACATTTTTTTGCTATAATCCGGTTATCAGGCAGGTAAGGCCTCTCTGCTTTAAAGGGAATACCTCACAGTACAACGACCATCTTCTAATGTTTTGTTATTATCCTGCGTTTTCAAGATCTCCAAGTCAGTCCGAGACATTCCGGGTGTTTCCGAGCTAACTCCTATCTTCTACAATCTGGACAGGTCTCTCTCCAAAGACGAAGTAGTGTACAAAATGTGTAGTTTTGACAGTAAGTTTAAAGGGATCAACGGGGCCATTTATGACCCAGCCTAGTGGTTATTCATACTTCTTTAGACTTTGTTCTAACTAGTATCCCATGGCAGTGCTTGTATTTTTTTCAAATACCAGACAGAAGCATTCCTATCGAATCATTGGGACAAAAAAAAGGCAATTTTAAGTACTGTATATTTTTGTTTTTTTCAGAAAACAAATACAGTACTATGTTTTATGTGATTTGGTATCTCATTTTTATGCTTGGCTATCATTTTGATCCTTTGAACTGAGAAATGGAATCTGCATTTAGTATTCCTCTGAGCTTTTGTGTATCTTCCTGGGATTCTGAGATATGGCTTTTGATATCTGGTGGTTTTCCATAGATTTTTGGTTACATGGGCTTGCACTGTGTACCAACTAGGATCAATAGCTTCATTTTGATTGGCAAGTTACCAAGTATCAAGAAGGCTTGTTTGGGACAGTTTTATGTATTTCCTTTTTTGACAATGAATCAGGTAACTGAAATTAGTTTGTAAAAAAATGGCCCGTGTTGAATGCACATTATCAGTCGAGTGAAGTTAATGATTAGAAGCGAAATTAATGTGCTAGACATCGAAGGTCATGTAGCACCGTGGGAGGTATAGTATCGGGAAGGCTAGAGAGGGGGGTAAGTTATGGTTAGGTGTTATACGCCAGCAGTAGTAGGAAGGTATTGAAAGGAGCTGACGTACAGTAGTAAGAAGGTATTGGATGGAAGGGTGTATGTAGATAGGTAGAGGTGGAGGGGATGAGTGATTGGGTTAAGTTAGGAATAAACTGGAGAGGATGAGATCAAGTAAAGGAAATGTATTGAGGAAGGGGAATAGGTTTTCAGTGCAGAAAATATGGGATTCCATCAGGATGTCTGATAGATTGGGAGGTCGCTGTAGGGAAGATAGGCGAGGAAAAGCAGCAGTACGGATTGTGGTAAAACGTGGACAGGGCAACAGGAAGTGCGAGATTGAAATGGGAACATTATATAAGGGTGGGACAAATCATGACATAAGGTAGGAGTGCGTAAAGCGAGTATGGACAATACGCAAGCTGGCAAGAGCTGTCTCCTAGCATCTGTTTTATGAATAGAAGTTGACCAGGAGGAGATTGGTGGTTTTACTGCATTTAATTTATTGGTGGCAAGACCTGACCAGGTTTTCCATCGACCAGGAAGGAAAGTCTTAAAGTAAGGGTAATAATCCATGGCTAGCATACACGAGAGACTGGGATTGTGTGATGTGGACATAGTGGCTGAGCGTGCTAGGGTATCTGCCTATTCATTGCCTGGGATTCCGACATGGCTCGGCACCCAGCAAAACTTGATAAATTTATAGCGTGTAGACAAGTAGAACAACCAGTCGTAAATTTTACTGACAAGAGGGTTAGTTAAGTATGTAGACTTCATGAGTTAGTGAGTTACAAGAGTCGGTAAAATAGTGGAAGAGGAGGAAGAGTCTATGTGTTTTAAAGCGATAACTGTGTAGGTTGGGAAGACAACTGCGAAACCAGTACCAAAGGTGGATTTGGAGCCATCAGTGTAAACATGGATATTAGAGGAATGAGTAGAGACATGTTTAAGGGAGTGAATGAGGAGGAAAGAAGAAGGTATATCTGACTTTGGTGGGTCAGGAAACGCAGAGGGGCAAATGTGGGGGTAAGGTATAAGCCATGAAGGGATGGAATGGACAGAGGAGAAAGGTTGGAGAATTGGAAAGGGGCAAGGGAAAAGGAGAGTATTCATGCGGATTATGAAAGGAGTTGGTAAAAGTGGAGATGAAACAAAGGTAGGAGGAATATTTAATTTGGTGAGAATTGAGGAATGGTTAATTTGGTGAGTATTGAGGAACAGTTCATTTGGTGAGTATTGAGGAATATTTAATTTGGTGAGGGAGTGTTGGTGGAAGCGCGCATAGCATCGGAGGGAAAGGAAGGCACGGCGTCGAGAGAGAGATGGAATGCCAGACAGCGTACAGGCTCTCAACTGGAGAGGAGCGGAAGGCGCCCAAGGCTAAGCGGAGACCACAATGGTGGGTTGTATCAAGATAAAAGGAAAGGAGGTATAGGTAGATGAATAGATATGGCATCCATAATCAAGAGTGGAGAGGATCAAGGCTGTATGAATGGTTAATGGTTAAAAGCAAAATAAATGTGCTAGACATCTAAGGTCATATAGCACTATAGGAAGGTATAGTAAAGGGGGATGTCAGATGATAGTTGCTATGCGTCAACTATCTAGAGTAATGTTGAAAGGTTGAAGTTGGGTAAGGGTTGATGAGGGAAAGGGTTTATGGTGGTTTAGGTAAGGGAGTTAGATCAAGTGAAAGATGGATGATGGATGGATAAGTATAGCCCAGACATAAAGGGATTGTGGGGAAGAGATAAAATGGTAATTGGGAATTGGAATAGGAGGATGTGTGAGGAAAGTCTCTTGGAGACTGATAAATAGATGGATTATAAGAAGCAAGGATATGACGTAGGTCTGATCTATGAGAACGGAAGCTGTGAATATTCCAATGTAGGAGAGTTTTAGCTATTTTATGAGTGAAAGCGTCGGTACGTATTGGGGAATCTGGGGGGGAAGGAGCTACGGGGTGTAAAGGAGGGGTATCAGGAGGTAGGGAATCTGGGGAAGGGCACTGTTGTGATATGAGTGATTCTTGTGTGTATCCGGGAGGGAGTGGAAAGGATAGAGGGGATGGAGGGAGGGAGAATGTGCGTATAGTTGGGGTTGAAGGGGGTGGGTTGTGTTGGGAGGGAGTAGGAGGAAGTGGTGTGGGGTGAGTGTTAGTGGTAGGAGGATGGATATCGGAAGGATGGATAGTTGGAGTTGAAGGGGATGTGTTGTCTTGGGAGGGATTAGGAAGAAGGGGTGTAGGGGTGCTATGAGTAAGAGGGGGATGGATATTAGGAGGATGGGTATCGGGAGGATGGATATCGGTGGTGGACGGAATTGAGGGGGTTAGGTTGTGTTGAGAGGGAGTAGGAGGAAGGGGTGTAGGGAAATATGAGTAGGAGGGGAATGAATATCGGCAATCACTTCAAGTGTGGAAGAAGCATGAGTTATGGGATTTTGTGTTTCAAACATATAGCTTTGAATATCATCCATAGTTTCTGCAGTGGAGTTGGTTGGAGAGTTTTGTGGAACAAAGATTTTCTTATGAGGGGGGGGGGAGGAGACTGGTGTCTCAGGAATAAAGGTAAAGGTAGGTGGAGGTGATTGTGCTGTAGGGGAAGAAGGGTTAGAACGTTTAGTCTGTCTACTGCGGGTAGTGCGGGGAGGGAGAGGGGATGGTGTTAGGGCTTTAGTTGAGATTGGAGCTGTGGTTGAGATTGGGGTGTCTGGATTTAGAGTGGCAAAGGAATTGGTCTGAAGGAGTGTGGCAGAGGCCACAATCACCTCGGCACCGGCGCTGCCTCTCTCTACGTAATTGCCTCAGTCGACACCGGCGCAGCCTCACTCGGCGTAATTACCTCACATCACTCGGCACCGACACACCTCACTCGGCATAATTGCCCTTACGCCGTCAGCCGGCAGGCAAGAATGGCGAGGTCCGCGGCGCTGATTCGCCGCGACGCGAAAGATGCAGCCGTCGGCCAATCAGCTCATCACAACCGCGGACGACTCTGCAGTATTACCTTGCCCTATTTGTATATATATCGCATTTTTTGCCGAAGATAAACAGACTTCGCACTTCAGTGTTTATTTTACCTTACCTACACAAGACCTTAGCTCTTGATTACCTCGCTGAAGGCCTCTCCACATTGGTGACACCGAAGTGACAACATGAGTACCAATGCAGCCACCCTCTTCACTGAAGTGAATGCCGCCACCATCCGCCTTCCACCCTTCTCTCCAAATGAAGCCCTCACATAATTTCGGCGAACCGAAAACCCAGTTCAGGCTGAAGAACATTGTGAAGGCGACCACCAAGGCAGACCACGTCGTAGCCGTTCTACCTGAGGAAGTTTTTCACCGGATAGTCCCCTGGTTAGACAGACAGCCAGACAACATTCAATATGATACGCTGAAGCAGGAGCTGTTGAAGGAGTTCTCTCTTTCTCCATCCGAAAGGACGCAACAGATCCTCAACATCCTCAACACACCGCTTGGAGGCCAGACTCATAAACAAGCCTGGCAAGAAATCAACACCCTATGCCGCCTCCCCACCAAAGACGAACAAGGTAAGTTCCACGAAGTGGATCTTAAAAAAGAAATTTGGCTCCGCTCTCTTCCCGGCAATATCAGGGAGAAGCTCCACGATTCGGACGAGACGGCCATGGATACCCTCCTCACCAGAGCCAATGCACTGATGGAAGCCCATCAACAAGCCCGCCCACAGTCAACAGCACCTGCCAGTACCGACATCTATGCAGCAACTCCCCGAGGACCCAACAACCCGATGCCCTTCACCCCATTCCTTGCTGCAGACGGCATCTGCTCCTACCACAAGAGGTTCGGCAGTGCTGCCTACAATTGCCTGGATGGATGCATGTGGAGACCTCAGGGACATCCAAAAAACGCAGAAGGTGGCCGCTAAACTACGCGGACACAACCCCAATCAACGCAGCAACTGCCCGAGGGACCAACACGAACCGGAGGCCCTTCGCCCGTTACCTTGCCGCAGACGGTATCTGCTCATACCACAAGCGGTTCGGCAACGCGGCCTACCATTGCCTCAACGAATGTAGGTGGAAGCCTCGAAGACATCCACAACAGGAAAGGTGGCCACTACGCAACACGACCACAACACTGAACAGCGCCGTCAAACGCCCCCGACGCCCAGCTCTGCCTCACTACAAACGCCAGCATGACCAGCCCCTCATCGGCCGAGCGACACTCAGCGAGAGGAACTCCGCCGGGTGGCCCGGAATTTAGCTCCCAGCAGACCAA